TCGCACCCTCTGCCCCCCCAACGGAAGGCCAGAGAAGGCGGCTTCAGAGGAAGGGCCCGCTTCGCGCTCTTCCAGCCCCATCTCCCCACCTCCCAACACGGCCAAGTTTCCAACCTAGTCTGTGGAGCCTCATAGGAGGAGGTAGAGGAGGAGGATGGCCATTCCTGGAGGAAAGGGACCACCTCCAACTCCAGGGAAACCTGCGCTCACAAAGCTAACGAATCCTGAAGCAGGAAGAGGCCTGGTCCAAATTCCTGAGGCCCAGAAAGCCTGAGGAACGTTCCCGAGACCCACATCAGGCACTGACCAGCCAGGACCAGAACCCAGACCTGTGCCCACCGAGTCCACTGTCCACTCCTCTGCCACGGACAGCCCCAGGCCTGTGTCATCAGGGCAGCTCGGGGCCTGGAAGGAAGCGGTGGTTCTCCAGTCCAGGGCCTCCCGGCTACAGGTGCCCTGGGCCCCAAGGGCAGAGCTAGGGGTCCACTCACCCAGCGTGCCCCACAGACACTGCCGTTGTCTGCGTGCGCCTTGATGTCCAGAAGACAGCCTGCCGTGCACTGCCCGGCCCCTCAGCTGGACAGACACAGAAAATAAAACCACCTGTCTCAGACCCGAGCTGGCCAACAGCAGAGCCAGGTCCGAACCAGAGCTTCTGACTCAACTTTTCCAACAGATCGTGCTGCCCCTGGAGCTGGCCGAGGACGCGTGGTGAAGATGGCATGCTGGCCGGGAGGAAGGCCAGGAGCTGACGCTGACCGAGAGCTCGCCCCGGGCCAGGCCCTGCTCTGACCACACTACCCGCACTCCGGAGGGGTGGACAGTTATCACCCCGCTTCTACACAGGGAAGCTGAGGCACGTTAGGTGAGATGTCAACTTGCCCAGAGTCACATGGCTTGGGGTAGGACGGGGTCAGACCAGAGAGTCTGGCTCCGGAGTTTGAGTCTGTCGGGAACATTCTCTGCTGGTCCACTCCAAAGTCACCCTAAGCGTTTTTAGGAAGCTGGTTCTTTTAGACCTCCTCCCACACGGCCTCCTCCCTCCCACCCTGTCCCCACCTGCTCGGCAAAGCGACACTCAGCCCGAGGCTGGCAGCTTCGTTGCCATCATCTGGCCCCTGTGGTCAGGGTCAGGGCAAGAGCACCTCAGCTCAACTGAGCCAGACCCTCAAAGTCAGCTTGTCACCCCCCCAGGCTGGTGACGGCTAAGCCCAGGGTGTCTCCGGCTCTGTTGCTCACCCCCAATCTCAGGCTCTCCATCCATCACCTTATGGTAAATTTCGGGGCTACTGCTGGGGAAGAGAAAGTGCGAAGAAACCACTTAGGCACGAAAGGAACTCTGCAACGTAGAGAAGCCCACTGTGCGCTGGCCGTTCGGGCCCAGGTCGCATCCCCGTGTGTCCCAGCCGGGCTGGGTGGCATCCTCTGGACATCCCCCGGTGTGTTCTCTTCCACACTCTGTGCTCACGGGGAGCAGGCCGCGTGGACCGTGGATTTGGATTCGGGGCACCTGGATCTGAATCCCAGCTCCGCCGGTTGCCAGGGGCGTGGTGTGGGCAAGTTCAGCTCCCCCAGGGCCCCCACCCCCTGGCCCCTCGGCCCTGACTGAGCATCTGTGACACCAGCCCAGCGGGGCCGCCCAAGCCCAGCCTCTCACCCGATCACCTGGAAAGTGGACACCTCGGCCTTGGGAGCCCTGCCTGGCTCTGCAGCTGCACTGGGCTCGGGCGCCTCCTCTCAAGGGCCCTTGGACTTAAGGGCTCAGGCACTGACAGAACTAACATCTCCTTTTACCTTTCATCCATCCCCAAGACCTCTAAATCTTTCCATGCAAAGTCATAACTGAAACCCAGCCCTCCATCCTGAACCCCGGAGACGTGGCAGCCCTGCCCAAGTGGATTCTTACTAGAAAGACACCCGGCACGAAGTCCCAGGCCCTAGTCCGGCCCATGTGACCTACGGGCACTGCGTCATCACGGGGAAGTCAGGGGCGCACCCACTGATGGCTGGGAGCCTTTCCATCTCCCCTCCCCACTATTCTCGGGCAGAAAGGGGCCAGCACTTAAACCCTGAGAGCCGCCCTTCCAAGCCACTTCCCCTGCAGGCCTTGCTCACGGGGTTCCGCAGACAGGGGGTCTGTGTTACACCCTCAGGCCGGCGCTCTCCACTTCAGCTGCACCTGGAGAGTTTAGCCAGGCCTCGGCGGAGCTCAGACACCTGTGCTTTGTCCCAGCTCCCCAGGTGACGCTGATGTGCCCCAAGGCTGAGAAACATTGAGCCACGGCCTGAGCGCCGACCCTCTCGCCTCTCCCAGGTCCTGCACCCTCGAGCAGGAGGTCCCGCATCTGCGCCAATCCCACAGCTCGGGAGGAGGAGGGGGGTCTGGGGTGCAATGCTGTCAACCCCACACATCAGTGGGTCCTGGGCAAGCTCAGCCCGGAGAGGGGATACTTGCCTACCCCTTAGGCTTGTTTTCTCAAATGCTGCTTATTTTATTTAAAAAAAAACACCCCCAGGGAGCCGGTTATACAAGCAGATTCCTGGGCCCCATCCCCAGAGACTCTGACTCGAGGCTGAGTAGGGCCTAGAACTCTGCATTCAGACAGCGCCCTGGTGACAGACGCAGCAGGTCTGAGGACCATCTGCTGGCCCCGAGCACAAAGGATATTTCCACTCGACGATGCTGATGCACGCCCTCCGGATGGGGTTCTTGAGGGTCAGGCAGAGCAGGGCACGGGGCGGGCGGGTGGCCATCGTGCTGCCCTGTTTCTTGGGCTTCCCGTACTGCTGCCGCTTCCGCTGCGTGGAGCTGACCGTGGAGATGGTGGCGTTGCCAGCGCTGCCCATCAGCTTGGCCTGCCGGGCCGCGTCAATGGCTGCCTGCCAGGACAGGGCGGCCCCCGGTGTGGGGATGTGCTCAGGTGCCAGCCCCGCGGCCGCATTGGCATTCATGTTGGCGTGAGCCGGGCGCGGGCTCCCATAGCTGGGACCTGCAGGAGAGAACAGGGGACAGCGGTCACCAGGAGGAAAACAGGAGAGCTTGTGATGTGCTCTGGATCCCAGACTCACAATTTTTTTTTTTGAAGTCTCATTTCAACCACAATTCAAAAAGAGACATGTACCACAATGTTCACTGCAGCACTATTTACAACAGCCAGGACATGGAAGCAACCTAAGCGTCCATCGACAGATGAACGGATAAAGAAGATGTGGCACATATATACAATGGAATATTACTCAGCCATAAAAAGAAATGAAACTGAGTTATTTGTAATGAGGTGGATGGACCTAGAGTCTGTCATACAGAGTGAAGTAAGTCAGAAAGAGAAAAACAAATACCATATGCTAACATATATATGGAATCTAAAAAAAAAGGTACTGATGAACCTAGTTGCAGGGCAGGAATAAAGAGGTAGACATAGAGAATGGACATGAGGACATGGGGTGGGAGGGGGAAGCTGGGGCGAAGTGAGAGTAGCATCGACACATATGCACTACCAAATGGAAAACAGTTAGCTAGTAGGAAGCAGCCGCATAGCACAGGGAGATCAGCTCCGTGCTTTGTGACCACCTAGAGGGATGGGATAGGGAGGGTGGGAGGGAGGCTCAAGGGGGAGGAGATATGGGGACATATGTATGCATATGGCTGATTCACTTTGCTGTGCAACAGAAACTAGCACAGTATTGTGAAGCAATTTTACTCCAGTAGAGCTCTATTAAAAAAATATATGTCCTATTTCAAACCATTGCAGGAGCCAGGGACGTGGCACATGGAAACATCAGTGTGTGATGCTGGGAATCTGCTCTGGTCCTAGTTCAGTCTAGGTCAGCTGTGTGACCTTGGATACATCACACCCCTCATTTTAGGTGAACAAGACACGAGATGTATTGCATTACAACATTTATGGACCTCAGAAACAGTGAGAGGAGGAAGATGTAGAAAAAGACAAATATGCAATGCAACACATGTCAACTAAAATACATACCTGTAAGAGCACATACAAACAAAGTAGAATAGAATGGCTGTTTATGGAAGGTGAGGCGGAAAATGAGAATAGGCGTACGGGGACAGAAAAGAAGAATGAATGAATGAATGAGAGCCACTGCATGAATCAATGCTAACAAACGTACAATGAATTGAAGGGTATAATTTACTCAAATCTCTGCACCTAAGTTCCAAAAAATAAAAGTAAGTCTGATAAATGAAGGGGATGGACCCAAGCAAGGTCACATTCAGGTACCTCAAACCCATGTGGCGATGGGAGTTGTCGGATAGGAGGGGGGGAGGCTGTGATGGTTTTGAATCAGGAGCTCCTCTGACATGCTCCCATTGAGAAATAGGATCTACGCGCCCTCCTCCTAACAAAGGCTTGGCCTCTTGTGACCGTTTTGACTGGTAAAGTTCAGCGGAGGTGACAGCAGAGATTACTTCCAAGGCTAGGTCGAAAACTCGCAACACCAGCCCTGGGCCGCCATGCTGTGAGGAAGCCCAGCCAGCCAACATGGGGTTGTGGGGTGGGCGTCCCAGCCAGCCCCCAGCTGCTCCAGCCACCACCTGACTGCAACCCCACGACAACACCCCAAACCAGAACAGCCCAGTGAGACTCCCTGAACTCCTGACCCGCAGAAACTGGGAGACAGCACGGTGTTTGCTGCGGAAAGCCACTTGTCTTCGGTGACTCATTATGCAGCGTTTGGCATCTGGCAAAGGGCGCTGTGTGTAGTGGGGGGTGACCAGAAAGAAGGAAACCTGGGTAGGAACCAGTGAAATCCAGCATAGAAGCAGTGGCATGGCTCTGGTCTAAAGGCAACAGAAGCCTCCAAGACTGTCCCTATGACACGGCGCGTGTCTGGTGGGTTCTCCCCCATCTGCTCGGCGGGCACCTCACCCCAGAATCCTACAAGGCTTACCAAGGGATCAGCTCAGCCTGGGCCCTAGATCAGACACGTGACCTTGAGACTGGCTGGCTGGGCAGGTGCCACAGGGTCAGGAGATGCCACAGAGAGTGGGGTGATTACTGTGGGCAGAGAGCCTGGCATCTGGAGGCCACTTCAGTCGCCTGGGAGACTGTGGCTGGAGCCCAAACAGTGGCACGAATGTCACCTGCAAGCCCCCCCCCCCGCCACGATGACCCTCTTCTCTGCTTCGTGTACACAAGGCTCCTCCAGGGAAGCTGCTGGCCCGGGACACACTGCCTCGTGGGGCCCTTCTCTCTCCTCCCTGCCACACGCTGGGTCCAGATGAACACTTGGTGCCTCGCCCAGCCCCCTCCCCCCAGCGCACATCCTGGGCTCGTCCTTCTAGGTTAGACCTTCAAGGCAACTTTTGCTGCCAGTGTGACCCCCTCAGCCCCACCGCCGGCCCTGTCCACGATGGGGGCCAGTGCAGAGATGAGCACACGACTCAGCTTAGCCTCAGAACCCAGACACACTCCATCCTAGAAACAGACTCTGAAAACCACTGGGCACCTGCATCCAGCCACACCTGATGCCCGCCCCACCCTGAGCTTTCCAGTTTTATTCCTTAGGTAACTTCGCTTAAGCTAGTTTGAACTGGATTTCTGTCCCTTGCAACCAAAAGAGAACAAATACGCTTGCTCGTACCTGCCTGGGCTATCATTCCTGCCAGCTTCCAAAGTCTATGTCCCTTCCATCGTCACGCCAGTGACACACGGTAAGTGTCCAGTTTTATGCTAACTGACCGACGTGACCACCAAAACGCTGTACCTCAAGGATTCTGGGACTTTTCTGAGCACAAAAGAAAGGTGACAGATTCGTGATGTCTGCTGGGGGCACGAGAGGGAGGGGGACGGCATCACAGGTGTGCGCTTCCCACCCCGCAGGACCCCAAGATGAGCACTTCGGGTCCACTTAGGTACCAGCTGCTGCCGCTTCCCTGTCCGCTGACAGCCACCTCCAGCACCGTCGCCATGTGGTCGCCGTGGCACCGGAGCCCCACCGCCACTGCTGGGCCTTGTCCTCAGTTCACGGCCTGTCCCCGACCTGACACCAGCTCCATGTCACCACCTAGGACGTCGGGAGCCGGAGGACCTAACCCTTCCCACCGGGGGTCTCATCTGTCACGCACCTGCCGCCGTCCTCCCTGTGTGTGTCTGAAGCCTAAAGCAAGCGGGACCCCGCGAGGCCGGGCCTTTGCCTTTCTTACGGGAGCCCCAAGGAAAGGACGTGATGCCCCCAGGCGCCTGCAGCACGAGCGGCGCCGTGACAGACAGCCAGGTGAGTGATCCCACCACACACGACGGCGAGGGTGCCGTACTCGCTGGAGGACGAGCTCCTCCTGGGGCTCACGGCCTGAGGGTGAAGGGGCTGCACTTCTGACCCCAGGAACACCCTCCGTGTCTGAGGCGATCTTCACGGGGCAGCGCCCACCACACCACCTGCCCCGGGGCCTCCGGGATGGAGGCGGGTGGACAGACGTGCTGCCCTGGACCGAGCGGGTCCGGATCGCGTGTCTCACCGGCTTCACCGGCGAGGGCTGCGACCCTAAGCTTGCCCGTTTGATCTGTGGGAAACCACCTTCCTTCCTAGACCCCTGGTCTGGCCACGACCATATGCTGAACAGCCTCTGCGGGAGTTCCCGGGCCGGCCATCCCCTTCCCTGGCGCCGGGAAAGCGGCCCTGGCTCCACCCTGCCGGACTGTCCAGTTCTCCGCGGTTCTCTCCTGACACGAGGCCTCGACATCACCCCCTCCCGCAGACCCTGGCGGCCACATCCCGGCGCTCCCGGAACGCCTGGACAAAAGCGTGAGACAAAGGCGGGAAGCGGCAGACAAGAGCAGACTCCATCACCGCCAAGGCCGGGCCGGGTGCATCCCGGGGCCCCGAGGCAGCGAGACCAGGGCTCCACAGCGCGGCTCGGAAAGCCTGGCCTGGGGCGGGGGTTGACTTCAGAGCCACCCGAGCCTTGGGTGATGACTTTATTTATACTGTGAACCGTTCCCAGAGCAGTGGGACCTCTCGGGAGAGGCCCATCTGCAGAAGCACATACGGATAAGCCCGTGGGGAAAAGTGGAATGTCAACCTCTCCCCAGCCAGAGGGCAAGAAAACAACCTTCAGTATTTCGGTCCTGGCAGCCCAAGCACTGCTGCAGCCTGTGACATAACGAAGGGCACAGTAAACACAGACAGACAGACAGACAGACACACACACACACACACACACACACACACACACACACA